AGGACAACATCTGTAAGTAATGCAAGTGGCTGCTTTTATTCTCCTGTTACAAACAAGTGGTTCAGTAACTGGCCCAGTTCACCTGGAAGGCAGTGGTACAGCTTGGACTTGGACTCTGGATGGACTGTAGGGATGGATCATGCTGGGCAAAGCTGCACTATCCTACTTCCCTAATGAGACCGGGTATCAGGGACCTGTATGTAATGTAGCTGATCTGGTACAAGAAAACGCGGATAGAACGATCAAGACCTGGCACAGTGGTGCACGCCATTAATCCCTACACCCAGGAAGCAGAGATAGGGAGATTGCTGTGAGTTCTAGGTCAAGGGAAATTTGAGGCTAGCCAAGGCTACTTAGTGAGGCCCTGTCTCAAAAACAAACAATGCTGCTTCTTGGTTTGCTTTTCAAGGCGTGCTGAGTTAGTTTTCTTAATAACTCCAGTAAAACTTCCCCAGAGGTAATACCACGCATAATGGGCTGTGGCCACCTACACTGATCAATGGAATGCTCCCACAGGTGTGCTTACAGCTGATTTCATGGAGGCATTTTCTCAATTGAAATTCACCCCTCTCAAATGAATCCATCTTGTGTCAAATTTTCAAACCAACAAATCCCAGCACAACTGAACCCCTGTCAATGTGACACACGAAGACATCACTCTTGAACTACAATCTCTCCTGGCTCATTGTCCCTGAGACACCACACTGATACTAACACATAATATAAAACATTCCAACTTTTGAATCTCACCTTCTTTTAAAATTCAAATACTTTAAATGTTCACTCTCTTTAAAACATCCAAATTCTCTTTCAAAGCTCCAAGTCTCTCTAAAAATTATAAAAAGCCTCTCAGGGCCTCTATAAAATATAAGAAAGCATTGATATATTTCTTACCAAGAGGAAAGAACCAGGAAACAGTCACAATTAAAACAAAGCAAAACTAAACTCCAACTGAGAAATGACTGATGCCTGACACTCATTATCTTCTGGGTACCGAAGACCTAGGCAGCTCCACCTCTCTGGCTCTGCCACCCCACAACACATGTACCTTGCCTTGTAGACTCAGGCTGGCTCCACTCCACATCTTGGTGGTTGTCCCAGAGTACTGGTACGTCCAATTGCTGGAGTCTCCACTGCAACTGGGTTGCACCTTCACCACCAATAGCCTCTCTTGGGCTCTTTTTTTTATGGACTTTCTCTAGTCAAGGTGCCAAACCTCAACCCCTCTCCACTACCGCTTTAGTTCTGGAGCTTCTAATTGCAATAGAGGCTGCACGTTACCCAGTGCTCAACCCCAACTGCTCTCCATGACTCCTTTTTACCTTCAGAATCAGAATTGCCTGGGAGTCTCTTGCATAAGTACCTAGTCTAGCTGCTAGCCCAAGGTACAGTCTTAGCCTGCTCTAGACTAAAACTTTCTGCTGACCCCAAGGAAACACTTCCCAGATAGTTTTCCTCAGTAATTCTGGTCTCATCCTAAGCACAGGTGTTTGACTCTTCAGCCTCATCTGACAAGTACACACTGCACCATTTCATTTTAGTGGCTCTGGTCTCTTCTCAATCGTAACTATTCTTCAGCTCCAGGGGCCCAGTGCTGGGAACACCTGTCTCTCTAGTTCAGTTCCAAAGTCCTTCCAAAATCCTCCCCAGAACACAATTAGGATTAACAAAGCAATACCTGAACCTGGTACCAATTTCTGTCTTGATTTGTGTTTCTATTACTGGAATAAAATGTCATGTCGAAAAGCAACTTGAGGAGGAAGAAAGGGCTTACAACGCATACTCCATAACTGACGAGAGTTAGGAATGTGGAGGCAGGAACTGCAGTAGAAGCCATGGAGGAGTGCTGCTTACTGACTTGCTCTGTATTGCTGTTGCTTGCTCAGCCTGCTTTCTTATAGCACTCAGGACTGCCTGCCTAAGGACGGCAGTGCACTCGCAGCATGGGTGAGCCTATCTATATCAAACATCAATCAAGAAAATGGACTACAAACTTGCCTACAGGCAGCTGTGGGAAGCATTTTCTCATATAAAAAGGTTCCTTTTCTCATGTAACTTTTTTTGTCAAGTTGACAAAACAAAACACCTCAAACCAAAAAAAAAAAAAAAAAAAAAAATCAAACAACCAAGCAAAAACTCTGAACGAGACACTCATTTATTTCTGGAACAAGTTATTTCATAAAATCACATTTTCAAGCTAAGACATTTGGTTGTTTTCTAACAATTATGCTGAACACAGTGGAGCTGGTTGTCGACCTCAAGCTCACCACTCATCACTCCCAACAGTAGCTAGAGTAGTTGATATAGCACCTTGTTTTAAAGTCTTATCTCTTCTGTTGCTATCTTTACTGGGTTCTACTCCAACTGACTTGGCTTCCTTCTTCTTGTCCTATTAATTTTCTGCTTGCCACTCACCCTTGGACATTTCAGTTATCATTTCATTGTGGTGGTCCCCAAGTCCACCACAAGTCCACAAACGAGTGAGCTCTTATCAAATTAATGTGACTCCCATCTTCCTCCCCAACTTTCCCCTAGAAGCAACCATATGAAACCTAATGAAGGCTGCCTCAGGGGAGATGGGATGGCAGCAGGGTTGGCAGAAGAAAGTGGAGGGCTTTTCCCATGCTGCATTTAGTATCTTTGACTAACTGGAACTGCTGAATGTCACATGCGTTTTGGTTTGACCTTAGGACTATGAACAGTGGCTACCTAGCCAGGGAGATGTTCTCCTTTTAAATTTAAAAGTAACCTAATAAGTACTGTAATAATATCTCCTTGGGTGTTATGTATATGTAGATGTCAATATATACAGCATAAATATACACAGAAATAAAAACTTTAAAGATGTTTATGGTAATGAAAAATCTAAACCATTTTAAAAGAAATATATGTAATTAAATGGTGTGGGATGCCCTTTTGTATGCTGTGAACATTATTACTATGGGTTATTAAGGAAGCTGATTTGGCCAACAGCCAGGCAGAATACAGCTAGGCGGAAAATCCAAGTGGAGAGTACAGGGAGAAAAAGGGCAGAGCCAGGGAGTGAGGAGCCTCCGGAGAAGCAAGATGTGAGGTAACAAGTCATGAGACTTGTGGTAAAATACAGAAGAACAGAAATGGGTTAATTTAAGTTGTAAGAGCTAGTTAATAATAAGCCTAAGGTAATAGGCCAAACAGTTTGTAATTAATATCAAGCCTCAGAGTGGTTATTTGAAAACTCGCAGGAGGAAGAGAAACCTCCAGTTACAATTAAATCTTCCAAAAACAAATTTTGCAGTAGTAAGTGTTGGTTTTTGTTACTGCAATTTATAATGCAAAATATAAAAGAAAGCTTTCTAATAATTTTCTAAACATTTATTGCTTTAAATCATGAACCCATTTATATATTCCTATTTTTCTTTTAAAAAACCATATAACTACTATACTACTATATGAAGTCAATGATCATTGAAAGTTTGAAATTCATTTCTTTATTTTCTTTATTACTTTGCTGCTTTTCAGCATGGACAGACATTGTCGAGTCTTCTGTTCACACTGTTCAGGAAATATGTTAGGAAAATACAAGTTACTTATCTAGTTCAGGAGATGCAGGGGTCATTTCCTTGTGTTGCCCTCCCAAGGTTCATCACCACTGGTTAAGAATCCATGTGTCATCAGACAGCTGGAACCTTCCATCAGACTGACACACTTTCTGTCAAGAGTGTGGTGGCAAAGGGAACTCTGTACACACCCAGAAAAAGGGCTAGTTCCAAACTGAGTTGGCTTGACTGACCATTTAAGCAAAGGTAATATCCACAAAGCTGGTGATACTGCGGGAAACCAAAGGACCAACAGAAACAGCGTGGCACAGAGCAGGCACTTAACCAATACTCGTTGGATAAACGTGAATAAATATCACTGAATACAGAATCTCAGTAAAAGAAAAAGGAATGATGGATAGTATTTTAATACAAATATAATTTCCTTATTGTATGAATATTTTAAAGTAAGCAAAACGGTATGAGTTTTAATTAATACTGTATTATTTCCGTTTTTTGCATTGAATTTGTGAAGGACTTTTTAAGTCAAAATTTCTCTTTATTTCAACAAAAAGGCCGGGCGGTGGTGGCACACGCCTTTAATCCCAGCACTTGGGAGGCAGAGGCAGGCGGATCTCTGTGAGTTCGAGACCAGCCTGGTCTACAAGAGCTAGTTCCAGGACAGGCTCATAAACCACAGAGAAACCCTGTCTCGAAAAAAAAAAAAAAAAACAAAAAAAAAAAAGAAAAAATTATTTCAACAAAAAGGTATAAAGTAAAAAAGTAAAAAAAAGATCAGTGGATCAATCTTAAACATTTATGCTTAAAATCTCAAAGTACTGAAAAATGAATTACCTTTTTGTATTTCTTAAATCAAATACATGGCTAAGATTACAGTGTTCACTCTGACTGCAAACCACTATCACTCCCTCATTATGGTGGCTGGCTACACTGGTTAAAATGGACAACAAAAGTTTTAATATTATTTCAATATCTAATACTTATTTCAAAAACATGTTGTAAAAAAGGCTGGTTGTGATTTTTAGGTATATTATAAGGGTAATCAGCATTAGAAACAAATCTTAGAGCAAATTTGTCAAATATTGTCACAGAGAACCTATTCAATAACAAAAATCCCTTCTATGCAGCTAGCCTACAAAAGCATAATGGCAAAAAAGACTTCAAACATATGTTGAATCGTATTTTGCAAACAAAGAAAACTCACATTAGAGCTGGATGCCACTAAGGTGCCCTGAGAGGGACTTTTGTTTTACACAACAGTGCCACTCAGTGGCCAAACTATGGTAGCAGAATGGAAGGTAAGGCCAGAAACATGGGTTTTGGGAGAGGGCTGTGACAATAAAGGAAGTCTGGGTAGGGTGGTGTAGCAGGTGCCAACAAATGAGAGGGAGAGTGAGAGAGAGGGAAAGGGAAAGGGAGAGGGAGGAAGGAGGAAGAGAAGGAAGGTTGTGGCAACTGTACCTTGGAGGTCAGTTAGAGCCTGGACAGGAACAGAGATCTGAGCACTGCTTCCTGTAACTACGTCGCCTAGATTTCATAAGAGAAAATAATTAGATATCATAAAAGGAAAATAAAGAATCTTTTGTTTTTCATACTAAATGTTGTAATAAATTTACGATGAAATTACTAAAAATACAGAACAGGAAATACAGTGAAAGTTTAGGAAACAAGAAGTATTTTAAAGTAAATAATGTTGCTAACATGGTGTTTCCCTTTGAAGATTCTCTCCTGTTTTGGCTAAAGGGAAAATACACAAGCTCCAACTACACTAGGATCAGGAAACCGCAATGATCACAAGATTTCTGAATAGATTTTATGGTATGACAAATGTTAGTGTGAATTTTTAAAACATTTCTTTAATAGACTTATTCAAATGGAATTATACATCATTTATTAAAAGGTATTCTTTTGAAACTGATTTCTTTCTACATCAGGAAATACTTTAAGCTGAACTTTGAAGCAAATTCCTAAGATTTATACAAGCTCTAATTTCAAACTTACCGCATGCGTTTACAAATGTATCTGTGAACTGCATAGCTTTAACTTAACATCCTTTTATAGGCAATATTTCATTACAAATTAGAACCACGGTACATGGTCAAATCAAAAAGGAACAGTTGTAAACACAGAAAAGAAGCAGAGGGGTGGGGAGAGCACATTTTAGTGACCCAGACAAGGAAAAAAGAGGAGCATGAAAGGAGGTACCACCAAGAGTAGAGGCACACAGACACTGGACTTTGAGCTTTTTTTTTTTTTTTGTTTCTTTCTGGGGTAGCAGTGTTCAACAAAGAGCATCTTCAGAATAACGCCCTGGAGGCAGCAGTGTCTGAAGGTTATTTGGAGCTACCTAAGTAAAAGGATTCAAGTCTTTTGAAAGGCACCACTAGATATCCCAAGTATAATCTTTAGTTTTTCTATTTCATACACACACACACACACACACACACACACACACACGCACACACTACTAGTATATATAAATTTACTAATATATAAAATTACTAATTAATATACTACATACTATATATTATTATTATATATTATATTTTTACTATTATATTAGTACATAGTATATATTATTATATTAGTATACTAATAAAAATTGACTTTAAAGGAATTAACATCCCTTAGTGTTCTGGTGACCTAATGCACTGTGATTTGCAGCAAGATCTCATGGTGACATTACATAATTTCTATCAATTAAAAGAACAAACAAATGTTTGCCTATCTCCAAAATAAAATTTGTTCACAGGAACATATTCCAAAGAAGTCTTAAAGTAGAAATGGTTACAACCTGACTTTTCTTAATACAGTTAACTAAGCTGACTGATAAAGGGTGGGCTTTTCGAGTTTATACAAGCTACCCATTTTGCTACAAAGATTTTCAAAGATCTCTTGCAGTCTATGTAGACATGGAGATTCACTTTAATATAAATCTTACTGAGAAGACGAAGGACTAGCTCTGCTGCCTTTTTCTTCGGTGGCTACACAAACTACACCATGTACTTTAAGATGCACATGCATGGGTCTGGGCAACACAACTTCCATTTTACAATTACAAATAACCATGGTCTATAAAAGTCACAATGTTTTTATCTTTACAAACAATCACATTATCTCTCCTCAAAGGCATGAGGTGGATGGTTCTATACAGCATTAGACTGCAGACAGGTTGCTGTGTTCAAGAGCTGTCTGTGAGGGACAGCACAGCAGTGTCTGTGGGAAACTGGCACCACAGGCCAATGTTGGAGGAGTGCTCTTTCAATGTAAAGTTAATGGATATAATTGTCCCCCAAAGCACCAAAGGTTTTCTGAGCTTGCAGACTTCCTAGGCATCAGTGCAGAAATATTGTTTTAGGTGATCAAACAGTCAGAGCTTCAGGGGTTGTTTAGGGTTTACGAGAAGGTGAATAGAGGAAGGTCATGAGGTAAGCAGTTTTCTCTATCTCTGTACCTGACATGGTTTTTGGGGGAGGGTGGGTACTGACGTGAGAATAATGAGCCCAGAACAAACTAGAAGAGCTGTTAAAACAACAACCAACGAAACAAAACAAAAAACCCAGCAAACAAACAAACAGTCAAACAAATGAAAAGCAAGGGCCATTCCTTTAGGCCAGGGAGCAGTTACAGATGCTTCAGTGATACTCATTCCAACAGGGAGCTGAAGCTCTGCTGTCTCCTGACAACTGGGGAGTTAGTTTTCACCAATTGTTCCATCTCCACGCACTTCCTTTCTCACTTATGTGATATTAATACTTGACATTTCCTTAGAGATACAACTTTATATTTCTATAGTCATTTGGCTTGGTTTCTCAGAAAATTTAAGCTAAAGCATTAAGAGATTCTCTGACTGATTTGCCTGCCGTCAGTTAGAATTACAACAGACTAAAGCTTGTTATCAAAGCAATATTGAAATCATATTTGTTTACAACAATAAAACAGTACAATTAAGAGATATATAAAATAACATTCATTTCCATTCTGAAAGTGGGCATGTCTCTTGGCATTAAAACACATTTTCAACATGTTAATGATTTGATGTCTCCTTTTCTTTAAATCATGTGCGACAGTTCTATATGAAAATGAGAAGAATGTAATCTTAAATGAGACATTCTCATAGACGGTAAACTGAATATTCTAATATGCCTTAAATACTAAACATATAAAACTTAGTATTTCACATAGAAAAAAACAGAAAAACTAACATGATGACAGCAATGGAGGCTTCAGATGTACATACATGTATACACATGTGCAATGGAGGCTTCAGATGTACATATGAGTGTGCACATGAGCAATGGAGGGCTTCAGATGTACATATGAGTGTGCACATGAGCAATGGAGGGCTTCAGATGTACATATGTATGTAGACATGAGCAATGGAGGGCTTCAGATGCACATATGTGTGTGCACATGAGCAATGGAGGGCTTCAGATGTACATATGTATGTAGACATGTGCAATGGAGGGCTTCAGATGCACATATGTGTGTGCACATGAGCAATGGAGGCTTCAGATGTACATATGTGTGTGCAAATGAGCAATGGAGGGCTTCAGATGCACATATGTGTGTGCACATGAGCAATGGAGGCTTCAGATGCACATATGTGTGTGCACATGAGCAATGGAGGCTTCAGATGTACATATGTGTGTGCAAATGAGCAATGGAGGGCTTCAGATGTACATATGTATGTAGACATGAGCAATGGAGGCTTCAGATGCACATATGTGTGTGCACATGAGCAATGGAGGCTTCAGATGCACATATGAGTGTACACATGAGCAATGGAGGGCTTCAGATGTACATATGTGTGTGCAAATGAGCAATGGAGGGCTTCAGATGTACATATGTGTGTGCACATGAGCAATGGAGGGCTTCAGATGTACATATGTGTGTACACATGAGCAATGGAGGGCTTCAGATGCACATATGTGTGTGCACATGAGCAATGGAAGGCTTCAGATGTACACATGAGTGTACACATGAGCAACGGAAGGCTTCAGATGTACATATGTGTGTGCACATGAGCAATGGAAGGCTTCAGATGTACATATGTGTGTACACACGAGCAATGGAAGGCTTCAGATGTACATATGTATGTAGACATGAGCAATGGAAGGCTTCAGATGTACACATGAGTGTACACATGAGCAATGGAAGGCATCAGATGTACATATGTGTGTACACACGAGCAATGGAAGGCTTCAGATGTACATGTGTTTGTGCACATGTGCATGGCGTCTATCACCAGGGACTAAAGCCAATTTATACTCCAATTTGTAAAACCTTTACAATAATTTTGTATGTGATAACCTTAAGCAAAGCATACAGTTGTAATTTTGTGTTGACATCACCATTGTTATCGATACCACTAAGTACTAAATGCTGCCATTAACATAGTTATTCCTGTAAGATATGACTCAAGTTTTAGTCAGGATGTTTACTGGACAGAATGGCTACAAACTGCTGTGCTTCTGTGCAGCTTTTGTCGCTCTGTTTCTATTTCTTACTTCCAGTGTACAGTCAATATTCCACAGGGAAAAAGAAATATAGTTGTTTCTAATTTGCTAGGAAAATAGGGGCCTAGCATGAAAAATAAGGGTGAAGGCTCTAAGTAAGAATGTATAAGGCTCTCTGAGGGCAGAGAAGGGAGTACTGGACAGGACAGGGAAGCACTGGACAGGCCCTGAAACAAGAGGGAGCAGCCAGAGTGCTCAGGACAGCGCCTTCCTCAGCAAACAAGGTCCATGGGCTCCATCATTCCTTGGGTTTACCTGCTCTTATACCCAGTCTATGGCTATACCATTTAGTGCATGGACTTGAATGCTTATTCTGGCTGCTTACGATCTTGTTCAGCCTTTTTTCTCCTCAAGATTCATATGTAGTCCTTAGCAATCAAACAGGTGGATGAGATGAGCAACCACAAACTCTGCTCTAAATCACTGCCTCGCTGTGAATGCTGTGACTAGTCCATACAGCCCAGGTAACTATGAGTCTTCTGAAAGCATTTCCTACACAGTCAACTGATGAGCTGTATGCTGAGACAGTTCATGCCATCATATAAGACGGGCACCTATATGACAGAAATAGAAACCACACTGTGACAATATGTTGTCAAATACCTTCTTAATCAAGAATACAGTATCTAACTTCTAAGTTAAAAAGGATCACATACAACAGACTTTTTAAAAACTAAGTTTTTATGGATTTCTGCTTCTGGGATCTTGGTTTCTCAAAGGCAAGTGAGAAAATCTTCAGGTTCTTTGGATTTACTGAAATTGTTTCCTACCTTTGTTCAACTGTACCGGCATGCTTTCAGATTTCATCAGCCGCTGCTGCTGTTGCTGCCGCTGCTGCTGTTGCTGCTGCTGTTGCTGCCGCTGCTGCTGCCGCTGCCACTGCTGCTGCACATGATGCCTTGGGGCTTCCTCAGAGGTGGGGATGGCAGCAGAGAAAGAGCTGCTGCTGTTGCTCCCGGGCACAGGGCCACCCAAGCTGCCTGGAACCGAGGCTGGGGAAATCAACTTTCTTCCAAAGTTAATCAGGCTGTTGGAGACCTTGTGTATATTCAGGGGAGCACCTCTGGCATTGGTCCTTTGAGATGAAAAAGGGAACATCAAATGAAGTGGGAAAACATCTAACTTGTGGGATAATGCCATTTCACACATTCCCCTGGAATAAAAACAACTTGTCTAATCCTGGGAAAAGCTGTTTACTAAGTCAGCTATGTAAAGAAGTACGGACCTAATGTGACCACAGAACAGTAATGTGGCTTATGGAAAATGAGCCGCATCATTCCTTCCTTCCACAGGACACACTACACGCCAACACTGTGCTAGCTTCTAAGGCTGCCGCTGTTCAAGCAGACACACGACTATAAAAAAGAACTATGTGTTAGGCTGACTTTCTTAGCTGAGCAGCATACCTGACACTTAATAACTTAAGGAAGTGGGATACGACAGAAAGAAGGGAAATTAGGACATAGGAAGGAAAAACGCCTTTGCCCTGTGCTTGCTTGATGCCTCCAGCAGCTAAAAATCAAGGATTCACACCATTTTCTAAGCAGCTTTCTCTTTTCCTAAGTACAAACTTGTAATTTTCTAGGACTCTTGATTTTACTTTGTCAGATGATAACCCATCCAAGGCATCTCTGCAGCCACATGGAAACCGTCCGTCAACCACAGACAGGACGGATGTGAGATGTACTGTGAGAGCCACTAACACAGTCCATACGGCTAATGCTGAGACTCTTAATTACAACCTTCCCCTTGAAACTCATGCCCTACTGACGAGCATGCCTTATTCTTCTCCAGAGTGACTCTTTTTCTCTTAACCGCCTTGATTAAATCCACAGCACAAATGTTTTTTTTTTTTTTTTTTTTTTTTTTTTTTTTTTTTTTTTTTTTTTTTTTAACAAACCAGAGCTCTTCTTTGAGAAGCCTGCCCATACTCTGAAGTGAGTCTTTCTTTACCTTATCTTTTATCGCTGGACTTAACATCTATATGGAAATCTCTCTTTTAATAAATCCCAACTCCATCTCATACTGGCTTTTTCTGAAATTCTTTTCTGGCCTCAAGACAAAGATTCAGCTTTACCTGAGTTGTGATCTCTAAAGTTAAGGCTGCTGAGGGTGACAATGTGGAGCTGACTAGAAGACATATTTATTTTGGCTCAGGGTTTAAGTCAACAGGTAGCTGGTTCCATTCCTTTGAGACTCAAGACAAGGCAGACTCACCATGGTTGGGAGCCTGCAGAACAGAGCTGCTGACTTCCTGGCGAGTAGAGAGACTGAGATATGAAGAGTTCGGCATGAAACTCCTAAGAATCTATTATCTCCAACAATGTGCTACTTCCTACTGTCATCTTCCAATCATGTCATCGTATTTGTAGTAGGAGGGGGAGAGGGCTGTGTTCTGCCGCCCGGCTAGCTTATCCCCCGAAATAACCACATAGAAATTGTATTAATTAAATTACTGCCTCGCCCATTATTTCTAGCCTCTTATTGGCTAACTCTCACATCTTGATTCAACCTATTTTTAATAATCTGTATGTCACCACAAGGTCGTGGCTTACTGGGAAAGATTTAGCATGTCTGACCTGGCAGCTTCATGGCGGCTCTCCCTGCCTGCCTCCTTTCTCCCAGCATTTAGTTCTGTCTACTCTGCCTACTTAAGTCTGCTGTATCAAAAGGCCAAGGCAGTTTCTTTATTCAACCAATGAAAGCAACTCATCCTATACACCACATATTAGGAATCTATGATTAACACACTGAATAAGGAGCCCTCATGATTCAGTTACCTCTCAATGGCTGGATATACCAGTCAAGCACCAAGCTAGATACATGGAGATATTTTTTTTATTTTTATTTTTTTTTAAATGCAACAGATACTTTATTCTTCAATGCAAATTACTGCATTCACCACAAGCTGAAGGAGGACACATAACTCTATCTGTATATAGACATATATATATTTGGATTTATGGAAGACCAGTGAGACATGGAAAAATCCAGCACCCCAGCAAGTACAGCCAGGAAGGCAGTCACCTCCGTGGTAGGACAGGTTTAATGAACTACAAACAAGAAAGAGGGAAAAGGAAGGAAAAGAATGTGCAGTGAATTTAAGACACCGTAAAACTTAGAAGACATCTACTGTTCAAGTATAAACTCAGTAAGGACTTGGCATAAATTGAAAGGCAGTTGCTGAGGTACACCATTATGAAATAAGTCTTAAAAATTTACAATTCTACCTTCCAATTTTCTCAGAGAAAAATGCGGAAAGAAGGTGCACAGACTGTAGGAAAAAACAAAACAAACAAACAAGAAAAAAACCCAAATTTGTTTTATATTTTAGTGATCCCAAAGAGCATTCTAGTTTTTTTAAACTACAGAAAATTGGTGATATTTTCACATTCATGGTGTTTCTATCCAGTTTCAGTACCCACACTGTGTGAGGAAAATTGTTTTACCAATGCAGGAGGAACTCTTAACCCAATTGCAATGTTAGACTGGAAAAAATTTGGTAGTTAGTGTATCTTTGAGGTACCATCAAATCAGGTTTTTTTTTTATTTTTAAAAAATTTTTAATCAGTATTGTTTTTGGAAATCATATACTTTGAAACGCTTGAATTAATAGTCTCTAGAGGACAGTCTGAGAACACATACCCTGTTGTTTATATAAATACATGTTTTTGAGTAGCAAGTTCAGTCATGAATTGTTGACTCTGTCTACATGGAGATATTTTATATCCAAATCACATTAATATAAAAACTATATACATATGTGTATGAGTTAAACTTGCTTTGTGGAATCTCACACTATCTTCCTTGCTTTCCATGGTTTTCTAGGATCTGGTTTATAAATGTGTCTGGCAAAGAGAGAGAACAAATCAATATTTGTTATATGAAGCATTACTTCCTAGATGATTCAGTCTGTACTGTATCTCAGGGCTATTGTCCTCAAGACTAGTCACGCTGCCTTTCCCTTCTCCCAGTCTCCTTGGCAGCACTGGTAAAGCACTTCTCCTTTCCAGTGCAGCTACATGCGTGGTGGACTGCTGTCACTCAGTTCTGGGATAAAGAGGAAACACTGCCATGCTTCCCCCTTCCACAAAGTTTTCTCTAATGGCACCAGCTCATGTTATGAGCTGGGTCCTCGAGGGCTTACATTGCACTGGAGAAGAACTAATCAAATTTAAAAGGGTGATAAAAGAAGATTCATTTACTTATAACTCAATGCAGTGTAAAAATAATTTAATAAAATTAATTCAAATGATCCCTCTTGTATCAATTTCATATTTTGTGGAAGTGAGGCTATACAGTAGGTATACTTGCTTTTCAGCTTTTAGTGGCTTCCTAATGAAGCAGGACATACTCAATTTCTACACACCTTCTCAATCCATGTTGACTGAATACAAACAATGAATGAAATAAAAAGGACTCGTCAGATCTAGACTGCAGAGATTCAGCAGCCTGAACACAGGCCTATGCCTAGTTAGTGAGGCACAAGAATGGCTGCCATGTTCAGCTGCATTTCAGTCTTGCTTGTGTGCAAATCAAGATCCATAACTCAAAGATATGAAGAAGTTTATAATGTTGTTACCCCTTTATATAAACAAAAATGTACTAGTCAAATTCCCATATTGCCAGTTGTGAAATTTATATGCTGATACAAGTACTAAGAAACAGCTCCAGCACTATCAAGAGAGTGTGGCTAATGTACCTTCATTACTACTAATAACCACAAAAACATATAGATCAAGCTTGTGCTGAGAGATTTTTCTTTTCATCTGAATAGCTTTTAAAAAGATGAGCTTCTTTTTAAATGTTTTTGTCTTTTTAAAAAACGCACTTTTCATCTACCACTCAGAACTTCTAGAAGCATATTTTCTTTTCAAAACAACTCTTGAAGGTGAGTGCTTTTTAAGATGTAAGTAATAGCAAACCATGTACTTCTAGGAAAAGCCTGCTTTCCATGGCTTCTTTTCAAGGCATGACAGTTTTTACATCAAAGTTATTCAATTTAGCGCGGAATCAAGTAGCAATATCCTTCACCTGAAGTAATAAATATCTTGCCACAGTATTTGTGGCTGTGGAGTGTACTAGGCATGGGAATCACTGTAGTTGTCAGGTTTGAAGGACAGTGGGGGCTGGTAATGGAGTGTAATGGGCAGTGTTGAAATAAACAGCCAGAGGAATGAATCTGGAGTTAACAAGACGTTGATTAACCACATCCACATGACTGAAATCTCCATGGGTGTTGTCTACAGTTAGAAAAACAGCAGAACACAAGAGATACTTTAACAGTGCCGAGTGCTTAGACTGTTAGACTTTTTCAGCAGCATGGCATTTTCTGAAGAAACAAGAATCTCTCTGAAACACTTTCATCCTAATTCAGCTCTGACAGGACTATCTGGAACTGTGTGACTCTGGTGCCTTCCTACCTTCCCCATTCCCCACACAGTTGAAAGAGAGCTAGAACCTTCATCCTCTTAAGTGGCACAGTCATGACCCAGCATCTAAAGCTTTAAACAAAGCCAAACAAACAAAACACCCTAAAAAAGACCTCTAAAAGCCAAGCAAACTTTGGTTACTGCAATAACTTTAGCACAATTTCTTTAGATTCTTGTTTATATTTTTGGAAGGTTTATTCTCAATTTATTTTAAAGTATTCCCTTCCTCTGCATTCACACCTGCAGTAGTTATTATTATTATTTCTTTCTACTACTGTTCCCTTTCCCAAGGTTGAATGTGTGGTTTGTTCATTCGTTGCTCATTTACTCACTCATTCTTCCTCTTCTGTCTTTCCAATAAGAGCATTTAAAGGTATATATTTTCATCTGATGACATTTCCACTCTCACTTTTCCTAAGCCTATCGACACAATTGTTGTGTAGGTACATCTTACATTTTCAGATGGCTATCTATGCTTATGTTATTTTTTGAGTAAAAATAGAATTATCAGAAGAATAAAGTGTGAAAATATTCTAGCTTTTTAAAAGTATTACAAAAACTACAAATTGGAAAAATTGTTTGGTTTAGACAACTTTTAATTTTTTTGTAAATTAGTTGGACCTGGATAGAGTTTAAATAGTGACTATGATTCATTAAAAAGTCACATTAGGGTTAGTGAGATGGCTTAGTGACCCTGGTTCAATTTCCAGCACATACATAGTGGCTCACAACCTCTGTAACTCCAGTTCTAAGGGATCTGACATCCTCTTTTATTCTCTACAGGTACTAGCCATAAATGTGGTACAGACAACATGGCACATAAACACCATACACATACAATAAAATTTAAAATTTAAAAATTAAAAATAGTGAACATCGAAACCCCCAAACTGCCAGTCAACAAATGTAGTAAGAAATGAAGAGGAGTTCTCAAAAGAAGAAATACAAGTGGCCAATAAATATTTTAAAAAGTGTTCGACATCTCTAGTTATCAGGGAAATGCAAATAAAACGACTTTGAGATACCACCTCACCTCAGTCAGAATGGCACCCGCCAGAGATCTGGCAACTAACGGTGGCAGAGGGCAAACTAGAACAACTATTATGGAAATCAGGACAGAGAATCAGTATATAACTTTCTCAAAAAATTCACACAGAAGCATCCTATGGCCTAGCTCTATCACTCCTGGGCAGAGACAAAGGACTCCAGCCTACCACAGAGCTATGTGGGCATCAGTGTTCACTACTGCTCTTTGCATGACAGCAAATGGAACCATCAGCAGATCAACAAGTAATGAAGATGTGGTGCATGTGCAAGATGAAATTTTATGAAGCTTTAAAGAAAACTAAAATCTGCAGGAAAATGGATGTATCTGGAAGGTAAAATACTAAGCAAGGTGACCCAAACTTAGAGAGACAAAAACCTGAATGCTCTCTCTCCTGCCTGGATCCTCGTCTGTAATGCAACTGTGGGTTCTGTGTTTATGTGGGTGTATAAATGCAGGTCAGAGTTTTAAGAAGACAAAGAGAGGATAAAAGAAAGTGATGAGGAAGAACATGGGGTGGGCAAAAGGACAGGGACATGAAGGGGGTCGAGATGGAGTAGGAGAGGTTACAAGAGGTTAGGGGTAGGAGGACGAGGAGGAAAGGAAGTCTTTCACACTGTTCCCAAAAATGCCTTAATGCTACTTAACACCTTGCATGCAAATTAAAAATTATATTACTTTTAAGTGAAAAAAAATCCAGCAACTTGTTTTTGGTGTAGAGACAACCTCTGCTTTGCATTCCTGTACATTGCTAGTTTGTTATCAGTCATCTACTCTGAGTAGATATGAGTTATAGCTCATATTTATTTATTTTATTCTTCTGCACATCAACTGCTTTGGAAATTTAAGACAGTTAGTTGCCAGATAATACTATTTTATATTGTTGTAATGTCTTTATTTGCATTTACAAACTCTTTAAAGATAATTCTAACATTTAAGCTAGTACTTAATATTTTTATTGATAATTTAATATATACATACAATGTTTTAATCAAGCCTACCCTATTCCTTCTCTTGCACTTCCTTCTCGTACATCTGCACCACCGTTTCCTCCCAATTTCATGTGTTCCTGTCTTTTTGATTCACTGAGTGCACTTAGTGCCACCAGTATATAGTCTACATGAAGGGCCACCGACTAGAGGATAGGTACACTCTTAGGAACTGTATCCCTGAAGAAAACGAACTCTTTCCCCAAGCAGCCATCAGGTTCCAATAGTTCCTGAGCTATTTAAAAAGAATGACATTTAAAATGAACCCAGTTTCAATTTTAAGCATTAAAATTGCAAAAGAAAGGCTGTAGAAATGGTGCAATGATTAAGAGCACATTCTTTTTGCAGAGGACCTGGGTTCAGTTCCCAACACCCAACATGATGGCTCACAACTGCCTATGGTTCATTTCTAGGGAGCCTGAAGTTCTCTTCTGACTTCTGTGGGCACCTGCATAATGTGGTGCACACAGACTCACACAGGCACACAAGAGACACAAAATAAATAACAAATCCAAAAAATTCCTAACATTTTCAAAGAGATGATAAAAAATCTTTCTTCTATTCATCATGATTCTTTGTATAAGAATCTCAGTATGCTTACAAGGAAGTGTGTTAAAAAAATCAGTGTGTACACACACACACACACACACACACACACACACACACACACAAAGAACAACAGGATAAATAGGTAAAATAAAACCAGAAGGACAGAAAAGAAAGGATACATAGTATATTTCATTTGTGGGAGAAAGATGTTGGAACTAGGGTATAAACAAAACCTACAGTGAATATCTGTTGAGTGTTTCCCTATAGCAAGTCTCACTTGCCAGCTGATATGAGTGGGTGAGTAACAGCTGCCCTTAGTTGCCTTAGAAGATCTTGGGCAAAAAGTAACAGATGCCAGGAAGGATGATGATACTTTAAAAGGATGAACTCTCAAAAGATACCGGAACAGCAGGCAGAGAGAAGACAGCCTGACAATAAAGAGTGTCCTTTGGAAGGTGGTACCAGGCAGGGCTCTCCCTGGCAAGGTCAGGTGGGAGCAGCGCTCAGCAGCTCGGGAGTCAAAGTACAAACACTCTAAGCTGAGGTAAGAATGAGAGACCAGTGTGTCTGTGACCTACGAATGGAGACAAGGGGAGGGTGGGAGATAGTGGCACACTTATTCACAAGACTGGATAACTGATGGCAAAAGGAAAACTCTGGAAGGGCAAAAGTGGCAGTATAATATGAACTGCTGTAAGCCGAGATTTCTTTGGCTGTTTCATGAAAGATAGTCTAGTGGGCAAGAATCAGAAGGGTCTTCAGATAAAAAGACCTTATGTAACAAGTGAATCTAATATTTATCTTTTAAACATACAAAAACTAAATACCTGGCATAAAGAGGAAGAAATTTAAATAGATGGTTAGTAAGATTCCTTAGGGCAAGGGTTTGAATATGACTGTTATACAGGTGCCTCTATGCTTAAATAATCATATCCAACATTCAGTAAAATTTGTTGAATTAAATGAACTAGTTACTAGTTGTGAAACAAGACTTAGACAAAATGAATAAATAGAACAGAGCTCCAGATAAGTCTCATGGGCTATGACACTGGTCTCATAATTTCAAAGCTGGGTAATTTTGTAGTAGTGTTTCTCTGTTTCTACTGTTGTAATAAAAGGTTCAGGTTTAAGTTTAAAAGTCAGCCTCTTGTACATTTCCCCAGCTCTTAAGCTACCATTTCCTAAGTGGCAGTTGTTTTAACGCAGAACATGCTGTATGTACGCACTCTATAAATATATATTTAGTCTGCTGGAATTCTCAAGAAAAGTTAACATTCAGGAAAATGTTTAAGAAAAAAAATTTGGACAATTTGGCAGCATTTATCATTGCTAACATTGTTTTCTAGAGTAAACTCTGAAATTGCATTCTAATTTGAAATGGTTCTGGTTTGACAAGTTAACTCTTGAGACATCTAAGTATAGTATTATGAAAAAACAGAACTGTTCATCAACCCTTTATGCCAATGTTAATTTCTTTTAAAAGTATGATTTGAATGTTTTTATTCCTACAGTGACCCTTAAGAGTTCTGTGTGTGCAATCGCCGATCACAAAGGATGCATTTATAAGCTTATTTTGTAGTGCTAAAGCCAACTGGGAAATGCAATTTTAATTTTGTTACTGAAATAATTTAAAAATATATCATAGAACTGCCTCTTTTCATTCAACAGTGAAGATCCAGAAAGAGATTACACCAAGTAGAAACTATTTAGGTTTATTAGTACTGGAAAACTGACGCTGAAAACTTAAAAATGTATTCTTTTGGTATATTTTAAAAATTTCATTTCATAGTATTTATTCATTGTACATGATACTGTGTTATAAAAGGACATTTCCCATGCAAGTATATGCTATACGTTGAGTATATTCCCCCCCATACCGCCCTCTTCTCCCTTTTCCCAGCCCTTCTGTGGCTAAAATAAAAAATTTAATTGTATATACATGCAACATTTTCTTTATCCACCTATATGTTGTTAGACAATTAGGTTAGCTCCATAACCTAACATTACAAATAATTATACAATAAATATGGATAGGCAAGTATCTCAGTGGCATGATGTTCTGGAGCCCTGCAGGTAGGTAAATGCTCAGGAGTGGTACAGGTACATCATGAGGTAGATCTAGTTTTAGTGGTCTGGGGACACTCCATACAGATTACTATAGTGCTTGTATTAATTCATATTACCACTGTTAACAAAAATATGTTTTATGATGCTGAAAAGAACTTAGGAAATTTATTTAACAAAGATTCATTACACACCAGTCTTGGCATGCTAAATCTAGAAAATAATCCTCATGAAATACATAAAAATTCTTGATGACTTCTGATACTGTCTATGGGAAGGGACTTACCGGCTTTTATTCATAAGGTCTGCTCCCCGTGCCTTGTAGTAATCTAAATTGGGGTGGAACTGGTAAGTTACAGGCCTTGGATTTCTCTAAAGAAAAATGAATACAATAAATTAAAATAAAAAGACATGAATAAGGTGACCATTTAAATGTTCTATACATATATAATAAGACATAATAATTAACATGCTTCTGTTCCAACTGGTTCTTTCTTGGCTAATCAAAACTGAAAAACATCTAAACATATCTTATTTTTAATGCGTGTGGTTGCTCAAATATATCACTGTCATTAGACTGGTTTTGATGCTTTAAGTTACTTTCAAATATAATTTTCAAAATTGAGATAAAATTATATCAAAATTATAGTAAAGTTAACGCAAGCATGAACAATCAAAAAAGGCTAAGGGACAAGGTGCCCAGAAAACTGAACTTTGGAGGAAAAAAAAAATTATGAATATTTGATGCTCAGAAAACTCAATATGTCCACTAGATGGCATACTGAATCCTCCTCCTGAAATGAATTATTATTAATTATTATATTATTTGGTTTTTTGAGACAGGGTTTCTTTGTAGCTTTGGAGCCTGTCCTGGAACTTGCTCTGGAGCCAGGCTGACCTTGAACTCACTTGCCTCTGCCTCCCGAGTGCTGGGATTAAAGGCTTGCACCACCACTGCCTGACCCAAAATAAATTCTTTTAAAGTTAACAATTTCTAGGTCATCTAATTTATGAGTTTAATAAGTGCCCAAAATATGTCAGACAATGGAAATATCAGGATGACCATTAAACTGACTAGTGAAAGTAAAAACTGCTCCTTTCTGCCATTTATTTTTATTTTATTTATTTATTTTTATTGAAGAAAAAAAAATTTCCGCCTCCTCCCAGCCTCCCATTTCCCTCCCCCTCCTCCCACTCCTCTCCCCCTCCCCCCACTCTTCTCCCCCTCCCTCTCCAGTCTGAAGAGCAGTTCGGGGTTCCCTGCCCTATGGAAAGTCCAAAGTCCTCCTCCTTCCATCCTGGTCTAGGAAGGTGAACATCCAAACTGGTTAGGCTCCCACAAAGCCAGAACATGAAGCCAAGTACAATGGCTCTGGGTCTTGATCCTACTTCATTTATTTTTATTTACAGCGTGACAAAATAAAATCGTTAGGTTTAGTGTGTCCACTTAAATTTGCAGCTACTGTTTAAACTATATTAATTATTTAAATGGACCAACCTCCTCACAAACAAATAGAAACATACTTACATTTTACAAAATTTTAATATATTCATGCCATAATTTAAATGCATAGCACAATGTCTAACATGTTAAATTGTATACATTCCCATTAAATGTTTTATAAACTTCTAAATGTTTTCTACTGTCCACCCAGGCATTTAATTTAGGGAATACCTAGGTCTTTAAAATAGGGCATGCACTCTTTTCTGAAAGATCTAGTTAGACACAACATAGCTGAATTTTATCTTCATAGGAAATTACTGATACACTTAGATATCCCTTGGAGACATAATTCTGAAACGCTGATGCACTTGTATGCTGGTGTGGGGTGGAGAGGGAATATAACTGTTAAGGTTAAATAGTTCGAGATTCATCAAGCTAACATGCTGCGTCTCACTAGCTATGACAGACAGACCTTTTCTCTTCTGTTGAGAGTATTTCCACAGCTAAACCTGTTCATAGCTCTTCCAAGGTAACCCTAATCATCTGGCAGAAATGGCAGTCCTGTGATTTAGCTACAGTTACTATCTCACTGGTTTGGTATTCAACACAGATCTGTAATAATAAAATCTGAATTGCCTTGATGAAGATAACGGGTGCTTCCATGGTGACCATACTATTACATCTAACTGTAACTTTTCTCTGTCTAGGAATTACATTGGTAGCTGATGACAACCTGGACCCAAGTATAACGGGGAAATAAAATAGAGGTTAAAGCCCTTGACAGACTGATAGTCCACTCATGATCTATTTTAAAAAGTGACTTCTACAAGACTATAATTCATGACTGATTCTGTTCCTTATTCTCTGTGCCCGGAAAAGCATTTTGTTTTTGTTAATATAAAAGGCTTTTCTATTCTGACTTTCAACAAACTAAAAAAGGATCATGTTACTTTTGTCAGAAAATAATAAAAGAGCAATCCCATGGAGCAGTTTCCTGAAATGAACTTCTTTATAAAGACATGAAGTGCTGCTCTATCTAAGCACTCAAGGCCGTGACTAGAAACAACGATCTGACTGGAGCCTACTGAACTCCTAGAAGCCCTGCTAGGGTCAAAGGGAGGTAGTTTAAAGGACTGCAACGCTGGGGCCAACATCAAAAAAGTCAAAAGATAATGCTGATATGGAATAATTACATATGAAATACCAAAAAAGGAATTATTCTTCAAAGTTATTAAAAAGGTGTGTTATTTCTAACATATAAACACACACATAGAGATAATCTGAACAAGCACTATGAAAAAATATAAGGTGGGGCACAAGACCAAAAGTTCATTGATAATTAAAAATTATCTAACATAAACATTTAAACACACACACACACACACGAAACAAATAAAAGTAAATGCAACCATGGAGAAATTTATTAATGAAATACTTTTCATTCTTTATTTAGGAAAAGTCTTTGAAATCCAATTTTATATTTCACACTTAAGACATGTTTCAAGTCACACTTCAAACACTGAACACCACATGTAGCTTGTGCTAACTGAGCAAGCAGAGAACTGTACATCTGACACAACTAAAAACCACTGCATAGCTATAAACATCATTGTATGTACATCAGCAGCAAAAAGAGCATGGGTACTTTAACACAGTAAAATTCATTGCTGTAGTTTTGTAATTTACTTCTGTTTTTCCCCTTTAATTATTAGTTTATCTGCTTTTAATGTGTTTTTAAAAATCAAGACATTTTTGGAATACTCTTACAAACAAAAACTGAATTAATAAACTAGACCCAGAAAGGCAAATGTATGTTCTCTCTCAGCTGATGTTCCTAGCTCCAAATCTTCAGCTGTGAGGAAGTAGTAACTGGAGAAACTAGGAAAGTAAAAAGTAACCATTGTGGGGGTTGGGGGAGGGGGCAAAAGAATGGGGAACAGCAGGGTTCAAGAGATCTGAAGGGATAAACAGGAAAAGCAGAGAAGATTTACATAGGGATGGGGAGAAAGGAGTATAGAGTAAGGATGTTTGAAAAACTGTAAGTATGCTATTAACTGTCTACCTAAAAATACCTATAATACATGTAAGTCTCTGTTTACATAGTTTAAATGAAATCTTTCCTCCCAAGAGCCATAAACTAGCTATCAAAACGCCAACACCAGGAATGTGAAATCCTCTGGGCTGTTGGCCAGGGTTGTTCCAACACATCATACACTTCTGCTTGGTTGATCCCAGAGGTGAAGGTGAGTCCCTCTTGCTGAAGGCGCTATGTACTTCAGACACAAGACTCAGAGGAACCCAAGCTGGATCTGACCTGAAAGCCTCCTCATCAAGGACTAGGTTTCATGGTCCCTGAAGCTTCCAAAGGAGAGAAATAGCCAATAGTCCTACCCAGCCATGATGCCTAGAAAGCACAATGACCAGCATGGTGCCGTAACCCGAGGAGTGCAGTAGTGGCACACACACCTTAGCCATAACCAACAGCTCTCTAATCAAACTGAAGAACTGCTCAACAAGAAGGAAACTGTAGGAGCCAGCCATGATAAGCTAAATATGAACAGATCACCCAAAGGAAGTTCTTTACTTTCAACCATTATCACCTGCCAGTATAGGACTCAGCCATCGATAAGTTTAATGGAGGCCTGAGTCTCAGTAGTTTACCCTGAAGTAATACCTGGTTGCAGAAAGGACCACAAACTAAGATTACCTGAGCACCACCCAAGAACAGACCATCCAAAGAAAATGCCTAATGTTCCAACCCACTGTAGATAGGATCACCTTCCAGCACACTCACCGGGACAACCCTAGACAAATGTCAGCCAACCATGGGTCGTGAACCTCAGAAATCCCTCACCCCCATCTTTACTACTATAAAAACCCAACTCTAACTGAGCTCAGGGCTCTCTGGATATTCCAATATATTGGACATGCAGAGAGACCGAGTTTGCAAACTTGCATAAAATAAAGGCTCTTTGCTTTTACATATGGGACTCAGTCTCCTTGTTGGCTTTTGGGGACTTTGCGGATTTAGGCATAACAAAAGCATGTCTTATACTAGTGAGAGAGCCAGGCCCCAGAAAACCCCTCATCTGTAGCCCTACACAGATCCTGAAAGGCTCAGCTCTAAGCCCCACCCCAGTGAAAGAAACACACCCTGAAGATGGGACCAGAGTCTCCGAACCTAGAGCCAAAGATATTTGCCCTGATCCCAAAATTAGGGTCAAAAAGGTAAAAAGAATTAATGAAAGAAACAGTTTGGCCCCAGAATCTGAGTCATCTTTGTCCCACACAAAACCAGCCAATCCCTGAGCAGGGAAAACTGGACAATCAATGAACCCCTGGAGGCTTGGAATTCGCCTCAGGCCTGGAAAGCTCCCTTATATCATAGGGACAGCCAATCACAAGCTCAGAGGCTTCTCCTTTGTTCACCTCTGGGCTCTCTTCTGTGCTGTTTTTGCTGCTGCTGCTGCTGCTTAGGACAGACGGGACCCAAATTAACTTGCAAGAAAGACTCTTTGTTTTTGCATTGGAGTATGTCTCGTGGTGGTGATCTGGGTTACTGATTTTGAGTGTAACATTAGAAGCCTAGCTAACTATTCAACACTGGTGAATGCTGGTTGCTGAAAAATTTCTGACCACCACTTTACCTAACAACATTCTTCTACTTGTCCTTATATTCACAGGTAAGTGTAGTATTTACCCATCATCAAGAAAACTCTTTGAAACAGATGGAAACCATTACATAAACCTACAACCTATTAAAATGCAGAGTTGGGGAGCCAAGTCCTAACTGATACATCTATAGCACAACTCCTACATCCTCAGGGATCCTTGTGGAAGAGGGGATGAAAAGACTATAAGAACCTGAGGAAAAGGAAGCTTGTTGTGAGACTGTATCTCCTTAATGTCAGAGAAACTATACCCATAA